CTCTGAGTCACTGGGATTACAAGCTTGAACCTTCATGCCCAGCTGTCCTGGTATATTTGCTACACTCTTAAACCAACATCACCACATATTTTAGTTTCCTAGTGTTGTTGCAACATATTATCACAAACTTAATTTATTCTTGTATGGTTCTGGAGAGCTGGGGTTCACAATCAGGGTGTTGGCGGGTCTGCGCTCCCTCTGCAGACTGCAAGTTAGAATGGGCTTCCTTTCCTTTTTAGTTCTAATAGCCTCCTGCTTTCCTGGTTTCTGGGTCCCTTCCTTCTTCTTCAAAGCACATCCCTCTAACCTCTGCTCCCATTGTCTCCTCTCCTTCCTCTGCCTTTGATCTTTGTGACTCTCTTATAAGGACCTTTGTGATTTCACTGGGCCCACCTAGATAATCCGGAAAAGCTCTCCATCTCAATGTCCTTTCTTTAATCACATCTGAAAAGTGCCTTTTGCCATTTAAGGTAATATTCACAGATTCCAGGGATTAGGAGTTGGACATTATTCAGCCTAGTACAAAATATTACATGATTATTAATGCAATTCTAGTTATTAAAATTTCAGGAGTCCCACTACTGTTCTTTCTCAGCTCAGGATCCAATCCAGGATTTCACAAGAAAACTCAATCCCTCATGGGTCACCATGGTCTCGTCTGGTCTGAGGCAGTTTCTCAGCCTGGAAGAAGAATTTCAGTTTTGCATTTTCGTGGTTTACTTTCTTCTAATTCTCCCCTGAATATCCATTTCCCTTTTCAGTTCATCCCAACGTATCTTGTCCCATTTGGTTTTTTTTCTCCTGCTGTTCCTATTACCTCTTGATTATTTGCTCCTACTTTTTTGGAAACCAGTTCTGTTGAAAATGTCACGCAGTTTCCTGAAATTTCCTTTTCAGCACACAGTCGATGTTTTTGGAATACTGCTCGTTCTCTGAGTCATCGAGAGATGTTTGCTTGACTTTGTTCTCAGGGCAACTTTCAAACATGCTGCGCACTCTCTACCCCCAGTGTTTGCCGACACACAGGGTACGCGGGTGGCACTTTTTCCCAGTGTTATGTCCTCGTGCTGTTGGCAGAATCGCTTTCTCAGATCAAGAGAGGACATGGGTCTCCAAAACACAAAGAAGAAGAAAATGTTTCTTCTTGTCTGATTCTAGGTAGTCATTCTGAGATGAAGTCTCTGCAGATGCTTCTTGCTCCATATACACCAATATGGCTTATGGTCACGGAAGGCCCCCAAAGTTTCTGTGAATAGTTTATCAGCCTATGCTTTTGTTGTTGTTGGGGGTCATGTTTTTCTTTGTGTAAAGCATGCGGTACACAAGTCTAGAACTCAGGGATAAAGCTCCGGATTTGAAAGGTATCAAACATAGAGGTGGTGTTTCAAGCTAAGCACTGGCCAGTGTCACCTAGGGAGAGAACATAGTGAGAGAATTGAAAAGACCCTTCATAGGCTCACAGTTCTGTCACTCTGTGGGGGGGAGTCCAGACCTGAAGGCAGTGCATATGAGAAAATCCTTCTTTATGTAGCAGAATGCCATTTCATTCTATAGTGGGAAGGAATATTCTAGCATAAAGATGAGTGTCAAGTCCAGACAGAGCCGACTCCAAAGGCAGGCATGTGTGACATAATGACATTTTAATCAGAGGAGGCCACATAGATGACTGTGGTCTCATAAGACTGTGATGGAGCTGAAATGCTCCTGGTGCTGGGTGACCTCATAGCCACCATAAAGTCATAGCACCACACACTGCTCAGATGCTTGTGGGGATGCTGGTGTGAATGAACCTACTGAGCAGCCAGTCATAGAAAAGTGGAGCACAGTTTTGTACAGTCATAATACTCGAGAATGATAATAAATAACTCTGCTGCTGATTTGTGTATTTACTGCACTCTACTTTCTATCATTATTTCAGACTGTATTCCTTCTATATTAGAAAAAAGTCTATATAAAGTAGTGTGGTTTGTCTTACTGGCAGCAGACTCGAATGTCTGTTGACTGTGTATCTTTTTTTTTTTTAAGAAAGAGTGAGAGAGGGGAGAGAGAGAGAGAGAGAGAGAGAGAGAGAGAGAGAGAGAGAGAGAGAGAATTTTTAATATTTATTTTTTAGTTCTCAGCCGACACAACATCTTTGTTGGTAAGTGGTGCTGAGGATCGAACCCGGGCCGCACGCATGCCAGGCGAGCACGCTACCGCTTGAGCCACATCCCCAGCCCTGTTGACTGTGTATCTTGATTAAACCATTTTCTCCTGTGCTGGATTGAATCTCATGTTCATCACAGTCCTGGAGCTGCCATATACCCTGGGTGTGTAGGAGGCTATACCATCTAGGTTAAGTGTGGGCATGCTCTACAATGTTTGCATGATTGTGAAATCTCCTAACAACACATTTTCTTGAAATATCCTGTCCTTAAGTGACATATAACGCTGTTGGCTGTGCCACATGTAGGCATAAACCCTGAGAGGTGGCACTACCCATCTGGAGCTCCAACTCTGCATCTGTAAGATGGGTTTACTAAAAGTACTTACCTAAAGGATTTTTAGAATAACTTCATTGATGTGTAATTGAAAATGATTGAGCCTCGCATTTTAAAAGTGTATAATGAATATTTTTAATGTATTATGTACCCATAAAACTATCACCATAAACATGATAATGGGCCTGTCAATCATCCCCTCAGTTGCAATACTTTCCTCCCACCTTCCCCTAGCTCCACCTTTTCCCCAGACAACAGCTGATCTGCTTTCTGTCACTGTAGATTTGTTTGCATTTTCTTCAATCTTATATAACTGGAATCATGGAAAATGTACTTTTAGTTCCTGGCATCTTTCACTCAACATATTATTTTAAAATTCATATTGTTGCATATGTCAGTTGTCCCTTATTTTTTAAAGTTGAAGTCCAATTTATCAGCTTTTTCTCTTATGGATAACGGGTTTGGTGGCAATCTTCAACAGCTGACTAAACCAACATCACAAAGATAGTCTCTTACATCTTCTGGAAGTTTCATGGTTTTAGATTTCACATTTAGGTTCATCTTCATCCATTTATACTACTATGACAAAATACCTGAGACTGGATAATTTATAAGGAATAGAACTCAATTTCTTGTAGTTCCAGACTGGAGAAGTCCAAGTCAACGCTGCCAGCATTAGTGTTTTGAGGGCCTCTCTGCTTCCGACAGGTTCCTTTGTCCATACCTGGGGAAAGGCAGAGGACTCCCTTTAATCTGGAGCCCTTTTACAAGGGTGTTCATTCCGTGCATGAGTGTTCCACATTTATTGCTTCCCCAAAGGCTCACCTCTTCATGCTGTTGTATCGAGGAGCATGAGTTATTGAGGGAATGACATCATTCAACCACAGAAGGTCCCCTTCCACCCATTGTAATATGTTGTGTTTTTATTTTTATTCAATTAAGAATGATCTCTAACTTTTCTTTTGATTTTTTCTTTGATCTAAGGATTATTTAGAAGCGCATAAGTTAGTAAACAAGTATTTTACTAAAAACTTTTTTTCCAGACACATTTCTTTAATTTATTTTCATTGTGGTCAGAGACTCTATTTGGCATGGCTTAATCATTTTAGATTTATTGAGACTTTTTTGTGGTCCAGAATACGGTCTGTTTTGGTAAATGTTCCGTGAGCGCTTGAGAAGAAAACACTGCTTTGAGATGTCGCATGTTGGGATGTTCTGTAAATGTAAATCAGGTCCAGCTGGTTAATGGTGTTGTTTAAGTCTTTTGCAAGTTTAGTGGTTTTCCTTTTACTTGTTGGACCAACTATTGAAAGGGATAGTAAAATCTGCAAATGTTATGTGGGTTTACTTCTCTGTTTTTGCTTTACATATTTTGAAGCTCTGTTACTAGGCATAGGAACATTCAGGATCATTGTGCTCTCTCGATGAATGGACCATTTTAGCATGTTGAATAATTCTTCCTGTCCTTTGTACTCTTCTTTGGATTGGTGTGGTCTGATAGGAATATAGCTAATCTATTTATTCCTTCCTTTTTTTCTTTTTTCCTGTTTTGATTAGTATTAGTATGGTATGCTGTGTTCTTCTCATTCTTTTCCTGGTAGCACATCTCAATTGGATTCTTGTAGGCATGAGCTGGATCTTGCCTCTTTCCTTTTAATTGAATCTGGTAATACCTACCTCTTAATTGGAGTGTATAGAAGATTTAAATGAAATGCAATTGATACTATTGACTGCAAATATATCTTATTACTACTTGCTATCTCTCTGTTCTTTGTTTCCTTCTTTCCTGTCTTCCTTTGGATTGTTTTCTATGATCTCATTTCACCTCTTCCATTGGCTTATTTGCTATAACTCTGTGTGTTCTTTCAGAAAATGCCTTGGGGTTTTTGGTATATGTCATTGGCTATCTCAGTCAATCTGCAAGTGATATTGTGCCATTTTATGTATGATATAGAGTCAGTAATATTTGGTTTTGCCTGTTGTTTCAGATATTTCATGTCTACATATGTTATAACCCTATATAGAACGTTATTATTATTTTTGTCCTAAACAGTTAATGATCACTTAAATAATTTTAAATAGGAAAGATTATACTTATATGGGGCTGCTTACAGTTGTCCCACACCTCACCAATGCTCTACTCATTCTTTTTAAAAGTCTCTTGTTGTTTGTTATATTTTTGATAGTCATATTCTACGCATCCAATTTCATCACTCTTTTCTTATACAATGTCTGATCTGCCATTTATCCTATCCAGTGTTTTTGTTCTTCTTGTTTATTTGTTTGTTTTGTTTGATTTGTTCCTTGTGATTTCTATTTGTCTTTATTATATCTTCTGTATCTCCAATACTATGCTTATTTTTTTTCCTCTAGCTTCTTGAACATATGTGATATAGTTATAATACCTCTTTTCATGTTATTGTATACTAATTATATCATTGTGGGGATTTTCTGGTACTGTGTCAACTGACTGATTTTTATCCTTATCTATCCTTGTCCAACTTACACTATGTTACATAGGTGACAGAGCTTCAAGATCCAGAGGAAGGGAAATCAGGCTCTTGAAGAGGTATCTGACTCCTATGTTCATTGACGCATTACTGACAATGGCCAAGAAGAAAAACAAACTAGATATCCATCAGAGAATGATGTAAAGAAGATGTGATGCCTACATACAATGGAACACTGCACTTTTGCTTCCCACTTACCTGGTGATATCTGGCTGGATGCCACACAATGTAATTTTTCCTTGTTGCATACTGAATGATTTTTAGTTGTATAAACATTTTTTGAGCTTTGCTCTGAGATGCGGTTAAATCACACAGAAGTCAGTTGATTCTTTCAGGAAATGAAGAACACTTAGTGTAGGGCTAATGCTTCCCACTATGAAGGCAAGATCCTTTTGAGAAGTCCATCCAATGAATTTTTCCACTCTTGCTGATGGGAGGAGACACCATTCTTGGCCCTCTGTGAGGTCTGAGAATTGGTCTCTCTCATCCTTATAGGTGGCTCTGGTAGCTAAAGGGTCCTTGTGTGAAAGAGGAGGTAGAATGTGGTTTTAGAGGAAAGGACAGGATCAGTGAATGGAAATTACAGGGATTCTGATTTGAGCTCAATATTAATATTAATAGGGTCATTTTATTGTGGGAATGGTGAAGATAGTGGGTTCTCAACATTAAACAATACCTTTTTCTTCTTTGTTCTTTCAACCATATTTGCCAAGTCCAATGTCTGGTCAAAACTCAGTAACAAATGCTGCTTTCTTTGTTCAGTAAAGTGCATGTGGAACTTAGAACACACCCATCTCAGGTTTGGCCCTGGTGTGCTCCAGTGTAGCCAGGGCAGCATGGGCTTTACTGCTCCTCCTCCTGCTCTCCTGGCCATGTTTGTTACTCTCGGTGGCTGGAAGGAGTGGGCTGGAGATGCTGGAAGAGGTGTAGTCTGAGCTACAAGATCCTTTTGTTTGCCTGCCCCTTCTACTACTTGTGACATCCATATTGTCATGATTTTCATTAGATCATGGGCCTGGATTTCTTGGGGTAGCGTTTGGCGGGCTCCAGGTGGGTCACTGAGAAAGAGCAGTCATGGTTCTTAGAGGCAGGGAATCATGTCCCAACGCTCTAGTGTTCTTTCAAGCAGATCCTGAAACTGTGGAGGTCCTTTTGGGGAAGAAGTTGCTTCATCTTCTCCTCCAAAGTCTCCATTTATCATTCCTCCTCAGCTTCCTGGGTTAGACTACTCCAACTAGTAGTTAAAAAACACAAGAAGGAAATCAGGGCTGTCATCATGTTCACATGCATCCCAAAGTACTCATGTTGAGTTCCCTCAGAATCTTAAGATTCTCTTTCATAGGAAACCAAAAGATAATACAAGTAAATATAGACAGATAGGATTACATCAAATGAAAAAGCTTCTGCCTGGCACAGGACACACTCAACAAAGTGTTAAGTTACATAACAGACAAATGTTTGGAAGTTATATATCTGATAGGAGGGTTAGTATCTAAAATACATTTAAAAAAAACTCCCACAATTTCTAAGGGAAAAAAACCGATAACTGGATTAAAAATGTGTAACCACTGGAATAGACATTTCTACAAAGAAAATATACAAGTGGCCAATAGCTATACGAAAAAAAAAAAAATGACCCATATCACTAACCATCAGGGAAATGCCAATCAAGTGTACAATGAGATCTCATCCCTCTCGCCAGTTAGAATGTTCATTATCAACAAGGAAAAAAAATCAAGTTTTGGTGAGGATGTGGCAAACAAAGAGAGCCCTCACATTCTGTTGGTGGGATGGTAAGTTGGTACAGCCATGAAGAAAAAGAGTGTGCAGGTTCCTCAAAACATTAAAAATAGAATCCCTGTCCAACCGACATAGTGTTACATATGTTACAGAGTTGCAATATCCAAAGGAAGGAAAATCAGGTTCTTGAAGAAAGTTTTTGCTCTCTGATGTTGGTTGCAGCCTATTCACAATAGCCAAGAGGAAAAACAAACAAAATATCCATCAGTGGGTGATGTAAAGAAAATGTGACATATGCATACAATGGAATATTATCCAGCCCTAAAGTAGAAGGAAATAATGTCGCATGCTAAGATGTAGGTGAATCGAGGACATTTTGCTTTGTGACATGAGCCAATCACAGAAAGACAACTGCTGCATAATTCTTCTTACAATGGCTATCAAAAATGGCCAAACTGCAGAAGGTGTTGGTGGCAAGGGAGGATGGGACATTGCTCGGTGGCTATAGAGTATCATTCATTCAAGATGGAAAACCTCTAGAAATGTAGGCAACAATGTGCACGTTGCTAACAATATTGTACTGTACACCCAGGGCAGATTCATGGTTTGTGTTGATCATGCCCAAATGGTTTTTTTTTTTTTTAAGAAGAAACTGGGAGATGGGAAGTTAGTTTTTAATGGATCTAGAGTTTCTGTGGGGAAAATAAAAACATTCTAGAGATGATGGTGATAGTTCGCTCAGACAACTTGGAGAGCACACAAGTTCAATCATTCCAAGTTCAATCTCCTTCCTTAGCCCATGTTTCTCTTCATTTCTCTTTGCTTTTCTTCTTTCCCTCCTTTCCCTTCCCTCCATCCCACCTTTATTTTTTTCTTCTTTTTCTTTTTTATAGTTTTTGAGATGGGTCTCACTCTGCTGTCCAGGTGGGCCTCAGACTCTAGGCTCAGGTGATCCTCCTGCCTCAGCCTCTGGAGTAGCTGGAACTACAATGGTACGACGCATGCCCAATTTGATGCTGGATTGCCTACATAGTTATGTAGTATGTAAAGAACTACAGACCGCCCTTAAAGGCTTATGATAAGATTAGATGCCAGATTAATACATAAAATAGTTACGTTTTATATAAATAATTATATAAGAATATACCATCATGGGCAAAATTCCCCAAACATTTCATGGTTGTCAATTGAATTCTGCAGAAAATAAATTTTATGAACCTAAATAGCAATGGAACTAGAGTGATCAGAGAAATCTCAGGAGAGAAGGTGAGACCTGAACTTAAGCAAAATCTCAGAATCTCTTCCCCAGAGAAGAGCCATGGTTTCAAGGGTTCCCTAGTCTTCCGTGGGAGCGTCGTATTCTCTAGATAACAAGCTGTTGGAGATGGGATGGCATTTTCCTTGTGTTTGGGTGGGACATGCCAAAGAGTTTAAAATAGGGATCTCCAAGATGGTCTGTGGGTGATGCGAGCAGCACTCAACCAGCTCCGTTATTATTAGGCACAGATCGTTTTAGGTTAGAGGGAGTGACTGTTCTATAAAAGTGTAAACTCTGAGTCACTTTGAGCCTCTGACTTAGAGGGGATATCTCTCCCCAATATACAAAGCCCGGCAATTCTTTCATGATGTCAAAGACCCTCCATGCTCACATCTGACTTGTAGCAAAGAAGAAAAAGAGACCCTTTTTCTCTGAGTGGGGAAGTGCCCATATAATTCATTCCCAGGATTACAGAAAGCAAATGAGGATCAAAGCTCTAAGGATAATGATATTAAAAGGAGTCTCTTCTGCTAGGGTACTATAATATACATTATCAACTTATTGTTACCTGAGAGACTGAAAGAGGCACTGTACCTCTATTCTACAACAAGAACCTTCTGTACCCATCAGTTTCCACAGTGTCTGAAATTGCATCAATATTGACTCATTCCTTTTATTTTCTCTCTCCCTGAGTTCTTTGATATACAAGCAAATAATTCATTCTGAACCGCTTGTGAGAAGTCAGACCTGCATGCCCCCGCTGCTTTGGTTGGGGAAGGAGATATAAAAGGCACTGTGAAAGCAATATGTTACAGCCTGAGAAAACACGGATTCACTTAGAATACACCTATTTGTGAAGCATAATACCAAGTTAGCCTAAGAATAGAAAAATCTAAAAACTAATGTAACTTATAATCCCTAGACCTTCTGGGACCCCCCCCCCAATAGGTGTGTCCTATGTCCTTTTTCAGAAAGGCAGGGGTGGAAAAAGCAGGTCTCCTACGGGAATTCTTCTTTCTGTGAGCACTTCCTGGGCTTTCTGGACACAGAATGGCTCGTTCAGGTTCAAAGGGTCTTTGCTTTTTGCCTTCACTTAATACTGATCTCTGTTCAATGTACAGTTGAATGGAGATTCTTCATGTCCACTTCTCCTGGGCTGTTAGTATCAGTGATTGCAAACTCCGGAGATCAGGGAGCATGCCTTCATTATCTCCTGCCTTCCCACTGACTGACAATTACCAGGGCAGGCATTCAGTCTAACACCTGCACCTGTCATACACAAGTCCTGAGAACGTGCCTTGCCCTTGCCCTCACAGAGCTTAGGGAAAGATACAGAAGAAATAAAGGCAGCAAATACGTAGAAATAGGTAAAACAAAATATCAGGAAATGGTTATTTTCTATTAAGGGGTGACAGAAAAGGCTTCCTAGAAATATCTTGAAAGTCTCTGGCTATGAATTGGTGGACTCTCCAGGTTTCCCATCACGAACAAGGGCTCCTGTGTGAGTCATGAGGGCTGACTCCAAACCTCTCGGTCAGGAGAAGGTAGGACCTGAGAACTGGGCGGGGCTTTCTGTAAACACAGATCCCAGGGCCAGCTGGGGGGGGCGGGGGGGCAGGGTGTGGTGTGAGGCAGGTGGTTGTGAGGCAGGCAGAAAGCAGTACTGGGGCTTCCAATCAGCTCCAAGTGGTCCAAGCATCCCTTCACACGGGAAGACTGGGAGATTGAGAGGCAGTTGGACTTCAAGAAAGGGGTGCTCAAGGCAATCAGGACTGCATCAGGGGTGGGGTTGGCAGCACTCCATTCCTAGAGGGACAACAGAAGCTATCCAGCAAGGTGACTGAGTAGGCCTGAGTGACCCAGGAAAGGTCTTTCACCTAGAAGGAAGGAGTGAATCAAAAGATCAAGGCAGAAGACTGCCACACAGGCTGGGATAACACAGAGGGAAGACAAAGAGAAAGTCATTTATTTTGGAAAATCTAGTACCCAAGATTTCTTTTTTTTTTGGGGGGGGGAGTGGGGTGGTGTACTAGGGACTGAACTCAGGGGCATTCAACCACTGAGCCACATCCCCAGCCCTATTCTGTATTTTATTTAGACACAGGGTCTCACTGAGTCCCGTAGTGCCTCGATTTTGCTAAGTCTGACTTTGAACTTGCCGTCCTCCTGCCTCAGCCTCCCCAGATGCTGGGATTACAGGAGTGTGCCTCTGCAACTGGCTTCCCAAGTGTTTTAGAAGTTAGAGTCTGGTGAGGGATCAAGGGAGAGGTTCAAGTGCTCTAGATTCTAG